GACCCCAGACAACTTGTGCTCTAAGACGTTGGACCATTTTTTATGTTAATTTTTAAAAATATTTATCTTATGTGTAGAGTGTTTTGCTTGCACGGATGAATGTATCCCTGGTGCATGGGGATGTCAGAAGGAGGTTTAAGAACCCCTGTGTTGTTGTTGTTTTAACTCTTTGCTCTTTTGGGGAACCCTCCACCCAGTTCCCAAATAAATACACACAGAGTCTTATTCTTTCTTATGAATGCCTGGCCTTACCTTGACTTGTTTCTGGCCAGATTTTAATGTAAATTATCCCATCGGTCTTTGTCTCTGGGCTTTTATCTTTCTCTATTCTATATACCTCTTTTTACTTCTTACTCCATGCCATCTCAACATTCAGTTTAGCTTTCCCCACCTAGCTCTTTTCTACCCTGTCAGGCCAAGCCAGTTTTCTTTATTCATTAATGGTAACTACAACATACAGAGGGGAATCCCACATCTCTGAGGTTAAAGGCGTGCACCACCACTGCTTGGCATGCCTGCCCCCATCTTAGACTTTCTTGAGAGCTTTTCTTTAAGGTGAAGGAACTAAGCACAGCTGTGAAGAGCCAGTGGGGAGCTGTGGCTGCTGAGGAGCCCTGATGAAGCCTGTTTGACGTCTGACTGCTGCTCTCAGAAAGAAGACAGATTCTGCAGAGCCTGAAAAATGACATGCCTTCCGTTACCAAGTCGTCTTGTTCCTGGGATAGGAAGCCACCTTTTCCGGAAGGCACAAGCCTAACTCACTTAGCAGATGTGAGTTCACGAAGCAGGCAACTGCCAAGAGTGGACAGTGGGCCAGGCACTGACCAAACCAAGGCTCTGTGAGACTCAAGGTGACTGTGCTGTACCGTTATTAGCTGCAGAACTTGGGTGGCAGCAGATGGTTAATGTGCCCTTAATGGATTTTTTAAATTAATTTTCTCCAGCATGAACACATAGCAGATTTCTCTTGAGGAAGAGACATTTTTAGGTACTCCATCTTTATGTGGATAATAACTCAGGGTCCAGTATGAGCAGAAGGGCAGCTGTGTGTGTATGCGTGCGTGTGTGCGCACGCGCATGTGTGTGTGTATGCATGTGTGTGTGAGCCTTGAATCAGTGAATTGTCACATTCAAAGGCTGCTTTTCAGCCACAGAAACCATGCTCTATTCTTATATTTCTGGTTATTTCTGGTTGTGAGCCTGGCCTCCAGCCCGAGCATGCTCTATTCTACCCTCACCAGTTGTTGTTAGAAACTTCTAGTGGGATGGAATAAGTCACCTCAGAAATGGCTAGAGTGACCCAGGAAATCAGCAATATCACACCAGAACACACGGCTCAAGAGACTGTCATGAGGGCAAGCTCTGAGTAAGCACCTGTACTCTTATTTCCTCTTTTGGGAAAGAGGCTAGGCAGTATCCAGAAGCATGGAGGATCAGATAACTTTCCACTGAAGATCTCTGATGTTCAAAAGATGCCGAAGGAAGATGGTGCTGGGCCCAAAGAGACAACCTGGTTGCTTCTCTGAACGGTGACTTGAGTCTAGCCTCATGCAGAGAAGAGTGAGCGATTGTACGTTTCTCCACCCATTTGTAGCAAATTCAATGAAGAATCTGTGTACTCTTAGTTGGAAAAAAACCATATATACCCATGTAGCCACAGACTGAGCACCACTGGGCACTCTTCTGAAATATTTATCCTCAAATGAAAGGCACACATGCCACCAAGAAAACCTCGATTTCATCTAAACATATCACAGCGGAAACAGAGAAAATACCATGCAATTGTTAATTCAGCTTAACGCAGCGGCAAGGCAGGAAGAAGGTAGGTAGATGGATTAATAGTTTTGGAAAAATGTCTGTTATTTTAGATCAGTCAGGTGACTTAGCTGGCAAGGCTGGGGACCTGAGTTCAATCCCTGGAGCACACATAAAGGAGAACCTTCCAGAGAGCTGTCCTATGACCTCCACACGCACAACACACACATGCACACATCACACGCACACACAGACACACACTTTTTTAACAATTTGAAAAAAAAAAAACAATTTGAAAATGTTTCTTTATTATCATTAGTGTGTGTACATGCACACATGCCCCAGCAGACATGTGTTAGCCAGTTCTCTCTGTCCCCCATGGGTTCTGGGGGTGGCACTCAGGTCATCAGGCCCAGCAGCAAACATGTTTATTCACCGAGCCGTCTCTCCAGCCCTGTGCTTAATGGTTTCTTAAGGCCAACAGGAAGGCTGGGTAAGACCTCAGAGTAACTCAGATTTCTCAGGTCACGACACGTGGCTCTCGAGACAGCCGTGTGTACGAAGCAGCACTTCCCCGCTTATCTGCCTGCACAGGACCCATTATTGTCTGTCTTGCTGTCCAAACACAGGTGTCGTGGAAATGACTCACGCATGCCCACTTTTGCTTTGCATTGTTTTGTCGACCTTGAACTCCTGATCCTCCTGTCTCCACATCCCGAGGGCTGTGATCCAAGCATGGGTCACCATACTGAGCACTCCGCTGTCTTCACTGCTTGTCTCTGGCTGGCTTGCGCCTCGTAGCTCGCTCAGCCTGCCATTCATGTGCATGCGTGACAGGGAAGTCACCGCTCTCTCACCACCGACATTAAGGTCTGTGTCTGGTGCCGGCATACACGGATGAACTTTTAAGTCAGCTTATTTTCAGGAGGGTAACTTCTCAAGTTAGACCTTTGTCCTTATATTTTCTATTCTGTGCTTTTGTTTTGTGCTTTTTAGAAGCAGAGTTTTACATAGCCCAGGCTGGCCCCGAGCTTGTATATAGTTGAAGATGACTCTGAACTCCTGGTCCTCCTGATCCCAAATCCAAAGAATTGAGATTTCAGATGGACACTACCATTCTAGCCTTACCCTGCATCGTTATTTCAAGACACAGCTCCGGGCAGCCCAGGCTGATGTCAAGCTTGCTGTGTAGCTGAGGATAAACTTGAGCTCCTGATTCTCCTTCCTCCCAAGTGCTAGGATTACATCTAACATCACGCCTGGCCTTTTGTATGCAGGGGATCCAACCCAGGGTACTGTCAGGCTTCTGAGGATTAAGACTGGGGCCCAGTGAATGCCAGGCAAGTATTAAACCAAATGAGCAACACCCCCAGCCTGGTAAGGTCATTTTGAACCCCAAGTTACTTTAGAGCTGCAGGCAGAGCCCAAGGTCTCAACCTGGAAGCGCAGTGCCATCTGGCGGCAGCTCCAGAGAACAGTCTGGAGAGGCCAGCGTGGAAGAGTAACCGGATGCCTGCTCTGTGATCATTTTATTCAAAACTGTATACAGAACCTCTGAGTCCTACATATTTCCAGAAGAATTACAGACTTTAGCTTAAGAGAAGGCAGAGTGCTAGGCAGATGTAGCTATGCAGTCTAGTTCTGGCTTTATTTTGACCAGCTGTGACTTGGGCCACCGGCATCTTCTGGTAAAGATGGATAGAGAAGAGGTGGGAAGAGGCGGAGGATCAGGGGTGCTACCAGTCCCATCCATCCAGGGTTGGGGGTTCTGCTTCTTTCCATCCCCAAACAGAGTAGCTGTGTACTTTTTAGGTTAGAAACAGGAGCTCACAATGCAGCCCTGGAACTATGTGGACCAATTTGGCCTCAAACACCTGCCTCTGCCTCCCTAGTGCTGGGATTAAAGGCGTGTGCCACCACCACCTGGCCTGGCTCCTAATTTTAAAGATTTATTTTATGTACACGGGTGTTTTGCCTGCACTGTCTGTACACCGTGTGTGTGCTGTGCCTGAGGCCAGAAGGCACTGACTCTCTGGAACTGGAGTTACAGACAGCTGTGAGATGTCATGTGGGTGCTGGGAGTGGAACCTGGGTCCTCTGGAAGAGCAGCCAGTGCTCTTCACCACTGGACCGTTTCTCTAGTCCTTACTTACTAAAATAAATTTCACATCATGTAAGATTTTCTATGAACACAGCAGAAAGCTGGGCATGGTGGTGCACATCTTTAATCCCAGCACCTGGGGATGGATTCAGTTGTTCAAAGTCATCTTCAGCTTCATACTGAGTTTGAGGTCAGCCTTGGCTACTGTTACATGAGTCCTTGTCTTGAAAAGAAGAATAAATAAGCACAGTTAAATAACTTAAGAGAGCAGACTGAGGGGCTGGAGAGATGGCTCAGCAGTTAAGAGCATTGACTAGGTTTCCAGAGGTTCTGAGTTCAGCTGCCAGCAACCGCATGTTGGTTCACAACCATCTGGAATGAGATCTGGCGCCCTCTTCTGGCCTGCAGGCAGATATGCAGGTATAACACTGCATACATAATAAATAAACCTTTAAAAAAAGCAGACATATATAACTTAAAATAAGTATTAAGGGCTGGAGAGATGGCTCAGCAGTTAAGAGCACTAGATGATCTTCCAGAGGACCTCAGTTCAAATCCCAGCACCCACAGAACCACTCACCAAGGTCTCTAACTCCAGTTCCAGTGGATCTAGTGCCCTCTTCTGGCCTCCGAAGGCACTAGGTGCATGTGACACAGAGACATTCATGCAGACAAAACACCCGAACAAACACACACATAAATAGATAAAAGTATCAGTATCAGTGCATGTTAGGATACTCCTGTAATCTATCCACCACCTTTGAGGTGAAGGCAGGAGGATAAGGAAGGAAATCAAGGCCAGTCCAGGCTACACAGGGAGCGTGAGGGCAGCCTGGGCAACCTGTATCAAAAACAAAAGTAAACAACAAGTCATTTCTGGTTTCAATACTGTGGAGCTATTATTTTTCCCCAGCAATAAATCATTTTAGCTAAGGAGCACAGCAGGCAGGCAGAGCGGACCCACAGCGCTGTCTGCTGCTAGTGGCACCCTGGAATGCATGTGGCACATACCACACTTATGTGCAGCAGGTCTCTTGCTCATAGATCAAATACGGTTTTTGACTTCCCTGCCCTTTGTTACTGCCCAACCAGTCCTCAGGCACACATACTGAAGACCGCACGCAAAGAACTCTGCTCGATGAACTCATTTTAAAAAACAACTTTTTATTAGTTTCAACATCAAAACTTGTTACATGTAATTGTAAAGTGTCCTCTAAATTACATTCTGCTTTTGTCACCTCACAGGACAAGGAATGTTTAGAGAGCCTCGGAACACAGGACAGTTGAAGCTGATAATGAACTATCACATCACATCAAGCACACTAAAACACGGACACACGGACGAAGATCACTGGCTGGTTTTCACAAGTGCAGCGAGTGCTGGGGCCCAGGGAGATTACAGACGTGTCCAGATTCAGGAATAAATCCCACTGCAGGTTTGGGTATGAAGAACGAAGCGCAAGGGCTGTGAAGGCTTTCCCCACACTCCAAAGACGCAAACGCTCCACAGTGACAGGAATAAACACGCAGGGGCAGACAGCAGTGGCTATGGCGCAGTCGCAGGACCCACACTGCTGTCTCCCCTTAGTTCTCAACCTGACTTAGGGAGACTGGAGACCAACGGGAAACAATACAGAAAAACACCAATCATCTGCATAGATAGAAAATAAATCCTCCTCATGGTGAGAATGCACACCCGGTCAAGGCCATGTGGGAGCTCCAAGGGTCACAGGACCCTCTTCGAGAGTTGCAGGTTCCCAAGAGAAAGCACAAGCCACGTTAGCAGGTCTCTGCACATTCACCTCCCTGAGGTCACTTCTCAGCTGACAGAAACTTTACAGGGGACAGGACAAGTTCCCAGCCCGGCCGGAGACCCAACAGGCTGTGCTGTGTACACCCAGTAACCCTTCTGTGGAGACAGGGTCTCGTAGCGCACAGGCTGGCCTTAATCTACAACAATCCTCCTACCTTTGCTTTCCAAGTGCTGGGATGGCAGGCATGTCATCATGCCTGACAACATTTGGTAATCTGGACTCTTGACTGTCACATTTTGCTCTGCTCAGGAGTGAAGGGAACAGTGGCACGCTGAGGACGAGGATGGCTCTGGAGAAGCACACTCCGAGGGGAGTGTAAAACGTCAACAGTCATTGGTCATGTGGTTGGCCAGGGTCCCTATACCTTATTCTTCCCATGGACTCAGCTGTGTAGAATGTGGGCCTCTTGCTTAGAAGCAATATTTACCCAGGACTCCCAATCTTCTACACAGGAAAGGAAAATGGCTCTTTTTCTTTGAGACAGGGTTTTCCTTACATATCCCAAGATATCCTCCTCCTTTCAATCCTCTTGTCTCAGTCTCCTGAAGGCTGAGATCACAGGCCTGTGCCACCACACCCAGACAGCTGTTTCCTCAACACAGATGTGTTAAGGAACACAGAGGGAGAAGGAAAGATGACCACGCTCACCTGTGTGATGAGGGCCAAGCCTCTCCAGAGAAGAGGCAAGCTGGCAGGCGAGAACCCCAGGCTTCAAAGAATCATGAACACTTCTGATAATTACACCTAAAGCCTTCCTTTAAAAATTAATCCCCGAGTCTGTAAAATAGTTTACATAGAGCTGAATAAACAGGGCGGCATTTTTGTGCTGAGGTGAATGTACCGACACGAATCCGGGTGCCCGGTGCTTTCTGGACAAGCCTCTGGTTGCAGCAGCTGGGAAGTGTGAGCAGGGAGGAGGCTGAAAACAGAAAGCATGGAGAGAGAGATCACAGATCTTCGAAGCAAACTCAAAGAGTGTGAAAAGGAGCGATTGAAAGCTGCACAGTATGGCTTACAGCTCATGGAGAGGCAAACTGAACGGCAGCATCAACTGGATAAATGTCATGAAGAAATGATGACCGTACTGAGGGTTATAACCCGGAGAAGTACGACCTTCAAAGAGAAGCTGAGCTCAAGAGTCGGATGTCAGGAAGTTTGAGCTGTGAACGTGAAGCTGTGAAACAACAGAAAACGCAGCTGGAGCAGCTAGAGATGCGGCTACACAGAAGCCACGGGCAGGAAGTGAATGGCCTGAAAAGTAAGTTAGAGAAACCGAAAGTGGAATTAGATGGAGTGAGGTTAAGTGAGAAGCAGCTGAAGCAGAAGCTGGACCACCAGGAGGAAGTTCTCGCCCACACATCGGAAGAGCTCCGGCGAATGGAAGGTGTGAAGACTGCTCTCCAAGAGGTGAACGAGCCACGGTACAAACAAGAACAACTAGAATGTTCCAATGCTTCCTTAATGCACCGGGTAGACCGGCTTCAAGAAGAAAAAGAGGAGCGAGAGAAGGAAGTGGTGTCGTATTATAATGCCTTAGAGAAAGCTCATGTAGAAAATCAGGATCTTCAGGTGCAGTTGGGTCATGCGCCCCAGCAAGCCTTGGATCCCAATAGTAAAGGCAACTCCCTGTTGGCAGAGGTGGATGATCGAAGGGCGGCTATGGAACGTCAGCTCAACTCGATGAAAATATCAGTCAGTGAAGAAGCACAATGCATTCACCAGAGAATGTTACAAATCTCCACACTGCTGAGGATGCGGGGATCTCAAACTGAGTTGAAGCAGCAGGAACGGTTGTTTGCCATGTTGGAACAGAAGAATGGTAAAATAAAACACCTTTTAGGTGAAATTAAAAATCTGGAGAAATTTAAGACCTTATATGAAAGTATGGAATCGAAGCTGTCCACATCAGCCAGCCCTTGTTCTCTAGAAGACATCACCTACTTTGCAGATTTACTTCAACTAAAGCTTGAGAAGTTAAACAAAGAAAACGAAAGCACAAGAGGCGAGCAATCCACACAGAGAATGAAGGCGCTGTTTGAGAGCCAGAGGGCCCTGGATACTGAGCGGAAACTGTTTGTGAATGAAAGACACCAAATGAAAGACGCCTGCAGCTTTCAGAAAGTGAGAACATAAAACTGAGAGATAAGTTAGCTGAATCAAAGCTGAAGTACGAACCTAAGAGGAAACTGAAGCGCCTGTGCTCAAAGAGGAGCGTGAGGTGCTGCCACTGGGTGTAACTGCCCCAGAAGACACACCTGTTGCCAGCTAGCCTCTCTCCTTGCAAGAGTCCGCCTCTGGAGATGCAGCTGAAGACAGAGAAGAAATGTGTAAAGCTCATGGACGGTCCAGGCAGTGCTGAGGCTGTACGTGAACAAAGAGGGAACACCCCCAGCTTCCCCAGGTTATCTGCGGGATCAAAGCTTTCAACAGAGGAGAAAGAAAGGAAAGAAACTACAAGCAAACTGGAAAAGGGAGCCTGCAAGAAATCACACACCATCATGTACGCGTCCTTAAAGTCAGCCCCGGAGATGCAGTGCCCACAGCAGGAGGAGGGTGTTGCTCTGCGGGGCTTGCTGAGGATCGTGCCTGTGTGCAGGATACCCTTGTGGAACATTTGCATACACCAGTGCTAAGACCTCTGTGACCAAAAACTCAGCTTTTATTTAAACCTGTTTGCTGCACTGGACCAGATTTTGAAAGTTATGGGATAAATAACGTTCCTTAAGAACTGAAAATTGGACAGTACAATATTGAAGTTATTATGTTTTCCTAAGTATAGTTTCATGAATAAATAAAATTTTATTTTCCCTGTCTTGAAAAAATAGTTTAATACAAATATAAATCCATGTCCATCTTTAGTCTTGAGCAGAAACTGATTTTCTAAGCACAGAGGGAGGGGGACCTCCCCCGGCAAACTTTCAGCTCCATGCATGCGGCCTCATTCTCTGTGCCGGCTCCTCTTAGGACTCTTTGTATTTTAACAGTTTGAACACGACTCTCCAGGGAGCCCACATAAAGTGCTAACCCAACTGCCGTGACCAAGGAAACATTCTGGAAGCAGATTCTAACCCACAGCTCAATGGCGGTAAGAGCACAAGTCACGATCAAGCTGATTAAAAGCTCCCAAGTCACTACCTCTATCACCAATGTTTAAAAGCCATTTCTCATTCGCCATAAGGAGTCTCTCTCTTATCTGCTGGGCCTCCCGCTCTTCTCTAAGTGACGGGAGAAACATCCTCCACACTTTAAGAGCCCAGTGCATGAAAAGACGTGGAAGAACAGGGAAGGCCAGCTGCAATCCCTGCAGCGCTGTGCACGCCCATGTAAGTCTGGGGTTAGGTCAGTCACATTGATTTTCAGACAGTCAAATCATTTCACTTGATAATCATGGCTTTTTTTTTTTTTTTGGTCTGATTTGCTTTTTTAGAGAGGGACTCACTGTGTAGCCCAGGCTGGCTCTGAATTCAGTGCTCCACCTGCAGTGCTAAGATTAAAGGTGTTTCCACCATGGCAATAATCATGATATTTTACAAAGACAGGCCGTTGGCTGGAGCTGGCTCAGCGGGAAGAGTGCATACTGCTCTTGAGGACCAAGTTCAGTTCCTAGTACTCATTCAGGTATCTTTCTACTGTCTCCAATTCCAGATCTAATGCCCTGTTTTGGCCCTTGTGGGCACCCATATGTACACACAGACACATAAATAAAAACAAATCTTTAAACCTTACTAATCTCAACTCTCACTTTAAAAATACTTTTAGAGACAGATTTCATGAAAATGGTACACAGTCATCCCCTTATGGGGCAAACTGCTCCTGACCTGTACCTGGTGTCCCCTCAACTCAAATTGCCCATTTAGTGGCCACAATGATCTATGTAAACCTTTATGTAGAACTTAAAATCTCTGTATAATCCTCTTCCTTTTTTGAGACAATCCTATGTAACCCAGGCTGGCCTTAAATTCACTATTTAGTTGAGGACAACCTTGAACTCCTGACCCTTCTGCTAGCAGCTACCCCCGAGTGCTGGATTACAAGTGCCTGCCAACACATGGACGTCCTGACATTTGAGGGATGAGTAAAACTACCTTTCAGCTCTTCAAGGAAAGGGGCTGCTCCTAGCTCCTGCCTCTCCACCTCTCTCCATGGACCTTTGGCTCCCACAGGTGGGTGTGTTGGAAAAATCTAGACTCTAAGAGCCAAACCCCCGCAGTCCTGCTGGCAAGCCCTACTAAGTGTCACGGCTTCATTACCCTTTACAGGGTTTTTCTTAACACAAAGCCCCGTTCTCTTCCTTGCATCCCTCAGTTTGAGTCCCACGAAGAGGTGTGGCTTTCTGAAGAAACCATGGTTACTGTTAGAGCTTCTTTCTGTAGAACGAACTGCAGATTTCTCCAGGAGCACGAAAGAGCTCCTGAAGAGCAGCAGGGCACTCTCACAAGGGCAATGCAGAATCCCCTAGGGAAGTTAATTCCAAGAAATAATTCAGCCGGGCATGGTGACACATGCCTTTAATCCCAGCATGCACGATGCAGAGGCAGGTGGATCACAGGGAGTTTGAGGCCAGCCTGGTCTACAAAGTGAGTTCTGGAACAGCCAAGGCTGTTACACAGAGAAACCCTGTCTACAAAAACAAAAAAGAAAATAATTGAATTAATTCAGTTTGAAAGAAAAATGCACATAAATCTACTATGGGAACTGGAAAGACGATAAGGGCTAGACTGTGTGCTGTGGTACATCTGTAACATCTGTAATCCTGGGCTTTGGAGGTGGGTGCAGTAGGATCAGGATTCAAGATCACCCTTGGCCACACAGGGAATCTGAGACCTGCTACCTGTGCTACCTGAGACCTTTTCACAAACAAACAAAAGAACAGGACTCATTTATTATAAAATGGGTACACAAACTGAGCATCAAAATAGCTTAAACACAGACACCTGGATACTCTGGTTCATTTCATTAAATAGTGGATGAATATCTTTTCTTCTTCTTGAGCTTGTCTTATGGAAACAATATAGCAGAAAAGAGGAAAATACTAATATCTGCTATCCAGCAAAGTTTAAATGGCTTCCCTTCTCCTTGCACACGCCCTATACATACACACGATTTAATACCCTCAAAAAGATTGAAAGAGATGAACAGTTGGCACCTCTTGACTTAAAAAAAAGGAGTAGGCCAAGTGTGGGGGCGCACACTTTTAATTACCTCTCAGCACTCAGGAGGCAGAGGCAGGTAGATCTCTGTGAGTGCGAGGCCAGCCTAGTCTATAGAGCAAGTTCCAGGACAGTCAGAGCTAAAATAAAGAAAACCTGGGGGGGGGAAGAGAGAGAGAGAGAGAGAGAGAGGAGGGGAGGGGAGGGGAGGGGAGGGAAGAGGAGAGGAGAGGAGAGGAGAGAGAGGTTCTTAAGTTGGCAGCTAGAAATGAAAGCTAAGACTAAAAATTAGTTTTGATCACTTAGAGAATTAGAGAGAATTGGTATTGCATAATGCGGAACACAAAAACTTCCCAACTGTTGAAGATCTACTTGTCTGCTGGCAGGTAGGGTCTGTCCTGCAACCAAAAGAAGCAAACTGCTGAGCTCAGAAGTGCAAAGGAGAGCCTATCAGCTGACCTGACAGAGGATGACTTGGGTCCAACAAACCAGTGTGGATGGAGTCGTAATCTTCAACCAAACACACAGAGTTCAGCATCTGAGGTCAAGGACAACCCTTCCTGTTGCTGTTGTTGGTGATGTAGGGCACACCTGCAATCCTAGCACTTAGGGGATAGAGGCAGGAGTTCAAGGTCGTCCTTGAGATGTACCAAGTTTGACGTCAACCAGGACTATATGAGACCCTGTTTCAACAAGTCAGACATTTGTGTGCAATACAGTTTAAATCTTCAGAAATCAATTCCACCACAAAAGACACTCAGCTCTAACATGTCACCCAAAGAACATAGCCATCATGGCTTCAATGTCTCCATTTTCCTTCCTTTACAGTAGCTGCCAAGTTGGTTTCTTAGTTCTGTGCCAGTCCCTTCACATATCCCCACCAGCCCTGGACACCTGCTGTGCAGTGAGAGCACAGTGAGGAGACCAGCCGACGCACCTGGAGCAGGAGAGCCTTCTGTAAGAGGGGCTGCAGCCCCAGCACACTAGCAATGCTGCACTCACGTACAGAGGCTCAAACACAGCTTCAAGAGCAAGAAGCTGTTCCATCTGAAAGTCGACTGCAAGCCAAGGTGGAAACTTTCACTAAAAAGGGAAGCACACAGGGGCTTATACCTTCAATCCCACGACTCAAGTGGCTGAGGAAGGAGAACAAATGGTCTTGGGCTCAAGGCCAGCCTGGGCTACATACTGGGTCTCAGGCTAGACAGCGTAAGACCTTGTCTCAAAGAAAAAGTACTGGTGATTTTTTTTCTTTCTGAACAGTTGAATACTTGAATGGAAAAATTTGAAGTGTATGGTGGCTCACTCCCTGTAATTTCCAGCACTTGGAAGTCTAATGCAGGAGGATCACAGAGGATTTTAAGCCAGCTAGCTACAAAGTGAAATCCTGTCTTCAAAGAAAATAAAAAATGAAACACCTTCCAATTCAAAGTGGTCTTCAGAAAGTCTTATTATTTTCTGAAATTTAAGACTGGACTAACATCACAGAGCTACACACAGCACAGGACAACTCAGGCAGCGACAAGCCAGCACTAGGATGGTCAAGAGAGAAACTGAAGAGCCACCCTCCACAGGCTGCAACTCCGTATCATCACCAGCCAAGCTTCCCAGTGATACATCCTACTTGCAGGGTCCAGGCCTAGGAGGGCTGCACTGGGAGCATGGTCCTGGGCTCCACCTCCACCAACCGCAAGAGTGATACTGAGGAGAGCCAAGAAACACGTCTGCGCATGCCGTTTGGATCTGATAATCTCACTCATTTGGCAGTTCATCCCCAAGGCTAGTGGAAAAATACTGAAGAAAAAAAGGCTTCTACAAATGATTTTGGATCTAAGATTTCTTTTCGTGCCAAAAAAAGATCATGTATACTGAGTGACATTCAGCCTTTGCTCAACGTATTTGTTAGACACAACCACACCAGTACAAAGAATACCTACACCAAATTACTGAAATTATGAGACTAATTTTTAAATCTGTAAAAAACAGTAGTGCACTGGGTGATTCTAATTCTGGCCTTCGGTACCCAATGAGCGATACGTTCCGGGGTACTAATGTTTTTGGGGAGGAGTCAGGTGCCACACAGTGGGGGCTAACCTTGTCACTTAAAGTGCCATTCGGAGCATTGCTCAAAATTTCAAACAGCTGACTGCATCTGCTACTTCACCCCATGTTCTGGCCTGGCAAGGCTGACCCTGCTGCCAGATGGATGCAGCAGCATCTCGTGGCTGTGCTCCAGTGCAGGTGCAGCAGTAGCAGCAGGAAGCACAGGTGCAGTGGCTGGGCTCACAGTGCACAGTCCAGCTGCTCACTCAGTGCGGCTGTGGGAGCTTCCGGGCGCCGAGTCTGCGTGATTTTTTGTTTTGGGTTTTTTGTGTCTTCTTCCTCTTCAGTTTCGCTTTCACAGACGTGCACGACCACGCTAGGGGTGGACTCGGTTCCTGCATGCAGTTCGTATTTCTCCCCTGCCGAGGCAAGCACAAGAAGGAGCCTGGCTGTCAATGGAAGGAATTAATTTACTTCCTAACTTCCTCTTCCACTAGTTCATTTAACAGCTGCTGGTTTTTGAGACTGAATCTCATGAAATCTGGGTCAGTCAGAAATTTGCTGCTGTAGCTGACACTGGCCTTGAACTCTTTAATTTTTCTGCTTCCATTCTCCCAAGTGCTAGGATTGTAGGCATATGTTGCCTTGGTGGGTTTGTTGCTTAAAACTCTGTAAAATCGGGGCTGGAGAGATGGCTCAGTGGTTAAGAGCACTGGCTGTTCTTCCAGAGGTCCTGAGTTCAATTCTCAGCAACCACATGATGGCTCACAACCATCTGTAATGAGATCTGGCGCCCTCCTCTGGCATGTAGGTATAAATGGAGACTGTTGTATACATAATAAATAAATATTAAATAAATAAATAAATAAAACTCTGTAAAATCATCTATCCTGCACCAGAGGGGCTTAGCCTGTTTGGCATTAAAAATTTCCCTTTTTTTCCTCTCGACGGGGTCTCAGTATGAAGACAGGCTGGCCTGGAACTTCCAGAGAGCTGCTTGCCTCTGCCATCCAAGTGCTGTTAAAGATAAGTGCCACCATGCCCTGCAGAAGTTCCATTTGTTGGGCTGGAGAGATGGCTCAGTGGTTAAGAGCATTGCCTGCTCTTCCAAAGGTCCTGAGTTCAATTCCCAGCAACCACATGGTGGCTCACAACCATCTGTAAAGAGGTCTGGTGCCCTCTTCTGGCCTTTAGGCATACAGACAGAATATTGTATACATAATAAATAAATAAATATTTAAAAAAAAAAAGAAGTTCCATTTGTTAAAGACACTGTCCTTTCTGTCCTGGGAGTTAAATCCAAGCATGGCTGCTAAGCTCACAGGCACCTTCAGGGCAGACCCATTCAGCATACCCTGAAACCATCCTATTCACAACAACATCCTGGCCATCATGTTAATCTCCATGACTCAGGAATCATAATCAGCATACTCAGGAATGGGCCTGCTACTGTATGAATATACACAAGCTTCCTTCATTCAGGGAGCACCTTGCTTTGGAACTAGCTCCTGTCTCTTCCTGCAGGTGAGGAAGTTTCTCCACTCTTATGTCCTTTGCTTACTTGGCTTTGTGCTCGCTATGATGGGAACCCATTGATTAAATTATATAAATACTAATTAACTTGTTAATATAAATGCTAATTGCTGTTCTAGAAACAACTGAGGTGGGTTAGTTACATTCATAAAGGTTTTGGGTCCCATGGGAGGCTCTGGCTAGGCTCCAGGTAGCAGTTTCTAGTGTAGGACCTGACTTCTGAAGGAGTTCAAACGGCCACAAGCATAAAGCTCTTTCTTCTCAGATGCCTCTGAAGTGCCCTGAGGAGACATGCTGTCCTGAACAGCTGGAATCAGCTCCTCACATTATTAAAGAGATGAGAGAGACAGCACGTAGAGAAGGAAAGTAAGAAACAAAACAGAAGCCGGGCGGTGGTGGTGCACCCCCTTAATCTCAGCACTCGGGAGGCAGAGGCAACCAGATCTTGAATTTGAGGCCAATCTGGTCTACAGAGCTAGTTCTAGGACAAGCTACAAAGCTACAGAGAAACTCTGTTTTGGGGAAAGAAAAAAAGGAAGGAAGAAAAGAAGGAAGGAAGGAAGGAAGGAAGGGTTGCAGAGAGAAAGTAGCCAGTGTGTTCGCTAACAGTCTGTGTGAACGCCCAGCTGAATCACTGACAGTGAAAACGATCATGCTGTACACACCATCTAACGTTCACAAGCAGATAACACAGGCTTGGCAGCTGGCTGAGGACCACAGTATTGGAAATACAGTCAGAGTGTGGACCCAGACTGGTGTGACTGCAGTGTCCCCTGGGCAGCCTGCTGGTGCTGGGCTCCACACCCCCTACTGAACACCGTCTCTGATGCACAAAGCTCCTGGGGACAATAAGAGCAAGAGCAGAAGCCGTACCTGGCCCTAGCTTGGAGACAGCACAGAGTAAGTCGTAGTTGATCACCGGCATCGCATCTTCACTCTGCTTCCACCCCACGGGCGGGGAGGCTGGAGGGGAGATGAGGAACTGCTTGGCGGGCTGTGGGGGCAGTAAGTAGGACTTATCCCGAGCCTCCCCAGACACCTGCACCTGCAGGGAAGGACATGACCACGACCGCTTTGCAAATGTGTCTTCGTTTTCTTCATTTCCATCTTTACGGTAACTGTTACTTTCTTAGAGGGTGATTAAAAAGATCCTAAAACGTTTGTGATCTTCCAGAAGGGAGACCGGGTTCACCTGGCTCACTGCACGGGACCACACACACCGGAAACTTGATAAACATGAGTTGTGTGAAAGAAGCAGTGTGCAAACAGACGGACGGAGAAACGCACAGCAGTGACTGTGGCCGGGATCTGGGCTCTCAGTGCTCCTCAGGGCCCATGTGGTAGAGGTTTACTCCCGAGGGGTGAAACGGGAGCCTTTAGGAGCCAGGGAGGTCTTTAGTCACTAGGAGCACACCCTAAGGCACAGTGGGACCCCAGTCCCTGACTTCTTGTTTCCCATGAATGAAGTGAACAGCTTGGCTTTGCCTTCATGTGCTACACCCATTGCAGGCCCAAAAGAAAAGGGACGATCATATATGGACTGAAACCTCAAAATCATGAGCCAAGACTTTTCTCTGTTACAGTTATTATCTCTTGTTACAGCGGGTGTGCTAGCTAGTTTTATGTCACTTGACACAAGCCTTCATTATTGAGAGGAGGGAACCTCAATTAAGATCAGGCTGTATGGCAAGCCTAGAGAGCATTTTCTTAATTAGTGATTAACGTGGGAGGACCCAGCCATAAGGGTGGTAACACCCTGGGCTGGGGTCCTGGGTTCTATAAGAAAACAAGTGAGCAAACCATGAAGAGCGAGCCTGCAGGCAGCACTCCTCCATGGCCTCTGTATCAGCTCCTGCCTCCAGGTTCCTGCCCAGGTTGAGCTCTTGCCTTGGCTTCCCTCAGTGGAAGGTGATTCTGGAAAAATCCTTCAGTGTCCATGCTACTTTGGCCATGGTGCTGCATCACAGATGGCATTACAGACTTCATCGCAGATTAGTAACCCTAACAAGCTCAGTGGGAAGAGCTGACGCATGACAAAGCTCCAGTCTTAGAAGAGAGGAAAATGCCAGAGGAGACAGGTCAGCTCTTCCCTCCTACCATGTATGTGTGGGTTCCAGGGACCAAACTCAGGTTGTCAAGCTTAGTGGCAAGCACCTTTACCCACTGAGCCTTCTTGATGGCCCTTGAAGATTTTTTTCTGTTCTCCCACAAATGTCCCACAAATGTCCCATCCTAAGTGCTATTTTAGATGCACAGAACATTTAATCCACTAACCTTGAAGGTCAGGGCTTAACCCTTGGAGAGCTCTAGCTAAGCAAAGCTGCCACTAAAATGAATCCCTTAACTGTTAGCTGCAGCAAAACAAAGACAGAAGGCTTAATACACTCCTAAGATAATGAACTTAGGTATGTGTAAAGTAAGAGAAAACACGACATCGTCTGCTCATGGGAACGTCGACTTCACAAACCTCTGACCCAGTGCTGGAGGGAGAACTGCCAGGAGCTGTGACGGAGAAGCAGCTGTGGTGACACGCAGCCACGCAGCACACCGTACCTGTGCGAAGTAAAGCTTCAGCTTCTGGCCATGGAAGTCACTCTCGTGCAGCTCTATCCGAGCTCTCGCTGCAGCCTCAGGCTTGCTGAAGTTGATCCTCACTCTGCGGAAGCTCTTGAACAACTGGAATGTGACCTGGTCATCATAGAGGGTGAAGAGAGCTTCGAACCTCTCCTGCGAGGAGGGCAGCAAGGCAGAGAGAAGAGGGAAGAAGAACAGAATACTCCTGTTAACAGGACGCCTGCGGAAGAGAAGTGGCCGGGTGAAGACCCTATGAAGTGCACTCCTTTCCTTCCTGAGAGCCCCTCTCTGGAAGGAGTTCAGGGTGGACGTCGTGTGACTTGTGCTTGCATCTGCACTGACTGAACACGGCTAGCTTCGTTAAATACTGCAGCTTCAAAGGTCATAAGATAAACATGATGCATAAGCCAGCACACACGCGTCTGCACACAACAGGAGCACAGCTGCCAAAATCACCAGTGTATCCAGCTCTGCTGTTCCTTTGACAAAGGAACATCTCTGGTACTTGGGGTGCCCCTGATTTCTTCACAGTGCTAGGCATTTGTTGCTGCTTAAGCCTGACACACTGAGCAAGATGTGTCTTAGAACCTGGACACCTCCCCCAGCATGTACACACAATATAACACAGAGAAATCACTCCTATCTTTTTTATTTTTTTAAAATTTTTTTTTAGACTAGGCTCTTACACAGGCCAGGTCAGCCTCAAACTTGCTAGCAGCTGAAGATGGCCTTGCATTCTGATCACGGGGTGCCACCAGGCCTGGCAGCTTCCTAACTTTCGCTTTTAACGTCTATGTATCTTTATGCTTAAGAAAAGTTTCAGAAACAGCAATGTACATATGATATTCATGCGATGTGTGCAGTAAATAAAGCCGACTTACTACCCACTGTCTTGTTCAGAGAGTGTCTCTCACTATGAAACACTGGTTGGTCTGAAATTCAGAGAGCCACCTGCCTCTGCCTCTGCCTCCTGGATGCTGGAACCATAGTATCTTTTTATAGACTTTATAGACTGGCCTTTAAAATCTTCAGATATTAAGTTAGACAATGGTGGCATATGCCTTTAATCCTAGTACTCGGGAGGCAGAGGCAGAAGCAGGTTTCTGTGAGTTCGAGGCCATCCTGGTCTACAAAGTGAGTTAGTTCCAGGACAGCAAAGGGTATTACACAGAGAAATTCTGTCTTGAAAAATCAAAAGTAAATAAATAAAATTCAAACACTGAACAGTTCCAGTAGTGTTTTGGTTAGGCAGACTAGGAAAGAGTTGGGGTGAGGATACTGTAATTTCAGAACAGAGCTCTTCCTCCTTTCCACTTAGCAGCCTCCTGTGCAGCCTTCATTGCTCGTCCTCAGCCACTGCCCTGAAAACCCATCCCTCAGGGCAGCGGATAGTTCGTGGGTAAAGGTGCTTGCTCCTGCTACACACTGTCCTAATTAGGTTTCTTGGTATATCTGGTTTCCTCTGGCTAAAGCGACCTTCCTTTTCTCTGTAAAATTCTAACTCATAGCTCTTCCCCAACCCCACATGCCCCTCTGAGAGACTTACTGAGCCTGGCTGCGCACTTGTCCACTGAAACTTTGGTGGATTTCCAGTGTTTCTAGAGGGTCTAACTTTCCATTTTGTCGCCGACCCACCAGCCCCACTGCAGGACTGTACGCCCGTGACTCAGATGCTGCTTAATTCACACTGTCCCTCGACCTATGCTGCAGGTGCTTGAGCATGTATCCAGCTCTGCCCTGAAAGACACTGAAGGAAGTCCAGCCTGGGCTACAGAGTGAGAATGGGTCTCACTGAAAGGAAATTCTTTGTGTACACAGTTAACATTTAAGGATCAAATCAGGAGTGGTGGTTTCTAGCTGTGTATCCAGTGCCCAGGAGGCTGAGGAGGATTGCCCAGATGTCAGCCTAGACCACACAGTGAGACTATGGCTCAGAGAAAGAAAAAAAGGTGTGCAGGCTTTTATGAGATCACGATCTCTCTCTCTCTCTCTCTCTCTCTCTCTCTCTCTCTCTCTCACACTCACACACACACACACACACACACAGTTTCTAAATAAATAAATAACTTTAAAAAGATAATCTTAGTTTTCCTTCCAAACCATACAAAGTACTACCAGAAATGTTAACAATAATTAATCCTAATAGCCTACATGCAATAAGCCCTAGGAAAAAGCCGAATTCCTTCTTCAGTGAATGCACAAGTAGGAAGAAGCCAGGAAAAAAAATCCATGTGCTTGGAGGTTGGGTGTGGTGACATAGCCCTGTGACATATCTCAGCATTCAGGAGTTAGAGCTGGGAGGATCACTGGAAGTTCTAGGCTAGTCTGAACCACACATCTATTTCCACGGCAGTTCGGGCCACACAGCCAATCCCAGGCCAGTCTGAGCCACACAGCCAATCCCAGGCCAGTCTGAGCCACACAGCCAATCCCAGGCCAGTCTGAGCCACACAGCCAATCCCAGACAATCCTGGGGCCAGAGTAAGACCTTGTCTCAACTACAGCAGCCTGTTGGGTAAAGGAGGAATTAGTGGTGGAGGTGGGAAAGGCACAAGAGAGGATGACAGAATGTATATGGCAGAATCACATTAAGTACAGAAATAAAATTACTAATGATTCACATTATGTATATTTAATATCTTCGAGTAAAACATTAAAAAAGCTTTTCCTCAATTACAGTCTCCAAAACTCAATGAATAAGAGAATGAATGAAAAGCACATTTAATGAGCCTTGAGTTCACTAAGAGCCAAGGCTTCTCAGGTGGAGCAGGAGGACTGGCTCTGCAGCACACCTGTGAGTGGCAGACGGCGACTCTCCATGATACAGGGAGGGACCCAGTGTAGCACACACTGTTATTTCACGTCACGGGCTCTCGGGCCGGTCTACCCAAAGCTATCTATGCTTCCCATGGTGTAAGTGCAGGGACTGGGCCGTGCCTACCTTCTGCTCTTGGACCTCAAACACCGCTTCGTGGACACTGCAAGCAAAAAGTGAGGTGGGCAGGTCGCTTAGATCCATCATCTCTTCCAAGTCATCTTCATTTTCACCGAACACCATCTCCTCTTCCTCTTCCTGATCGCTGCTACAGAGATCAGACTGGCTATCATTCCAAGATTTCATGGTGTCTCGAAGCATCTTCTCCGTAGGGAAAGTTCTAGGATATCTGCCAGGCACTGCTTAAAAAAAAAGAAAGAAAACAATGGAGAAAAAAAAAAACTGAAGGCCTGATCATGTTGCAGTCAATTTATCCTCAAGACAGCAATTCATCAAGCAAAATGACTTTATCGAGGAAAGATCAATCAGCATTTAAGTCAGCTCCAGCTCTCGCAAATGAATTTCTATCTACAAACCTGATTTGCTTAGCAGATTTTATGGGGCAATGGAATATGAAGAAGTGAAAAAGCAAATGCTTCCTGGTGAAAACGGGATGAGAAGGACGAGGTGACAGGATCGCATCAACATGTACTTTGGTTTACAAGCAGAGAGAGGGAAAGTGGGAGCCGGAGCGGCCCTCACATATTTGTTTTGGGTTTTAGGTGGCAAACACTGGAAGTGGCCCAGCAGAATCACACCCACACGGTCTGCTCGCCATCTGCACCCTGAAATGCTGTCTGTGAGGCTCTGCCTTTCTTACCCAGTGTGCTTTTCTTCCTGAGCAGACTCTCAAATAACTAAGTTGCCTATGTCTCCGAGTTCCCTCTAAAAGGTGTTCATGAACACACACCAAGAGTGTACAGCATACAACTAAAGCTGGAAGACAACCCAGAAGACGCACTCCCCAACTTTTAGACATTGTGCACTTAGAGTCAGGCCTAGAGCTGGCACTGTCCTTCTGTGAAATACTGGGGCAGAATCTGCCTGTGCCTGGCTCCTCAGGAAACCACACCACGCTCATCACAGTGTACCTTTGCACATGTGACATGGAACTGAAGGAAAACCACGAGTGACAGAGACACCGAGTGATCATGATTATTACGACTGCACTTCTGAGTTCCCTTTCATTTTGAAGGACACAGGCTCCAGATGCATTGCTTACACAGAATACATTTCATACTAGTTATTAACTATGGGGTAAAAATAGTGTAGTTTCCAGCTGGGCAGTGGTGGCGCACGCCTTTAATCCCAGCACTCGGGAGGCAGAGGCAGGCGGATCTCTGTGAGTTTGAGGCCAGCCTGGTCTACAGAGTGAGTTCCAGGACAGCTAAAGCTACACAGAGAAACCTGTCTCAAAAACAAAAACAAAAAAGCAGAGTTTCCCATTATTCTATACCACTCAAGACAACCTTAAAAAAATAGCATCTATCCTTGCTCTGTCAATATTCTGGACACCTACTGCCAGGCGCTGAATAGTTCTCCTGTAGGGCCAGCCAGTCCCACTCCCTAACGGGGCCTCATCCTGCTGTCTGCTATACCGTCCACTTCTCCACTTGCTCCTCTTCTTCGGCATGGAAGCCTGTTCATATTGGATCCCCACCATCGGTTCTACCTTGTTGTCATCTACCTGCTCCTCTTCCCACCCACTCCCTGTATATGGGTTCACTTACTTTATTTCCTCCCCTCCACTCCCTCCAGGGTTTAGTCTCCCAAGCAGCTGCCATTCTCTGTCGGCTTCAACTCCCCTCACTACTGACAACCAAGGCTTCCTGAGCACCAGAACCCACTTTCTGCAGTGTGCCCTCGAGGCCCCTCTCTTCACTCCCAGTCTCCCCCCAGGCTCATTTTCTCAGTCAGTCTTTACACCTGGGTCTCTCTGAGGTTCCAGCGCTGCCCCTCTGGAGCCCTTAGCTTCTTAGTTCTCACCTGGGTTTCCTGCGTCTCTGGGTCCCCCATGTGCCAGTTGCATTGCACAGACTGCTCCTAAGCCGTGAAGCACGGCATCAAAGCCATGGGGAAAGGAGGGCTGAGTCTGCACCACGCAGAACTGGAGGTTTGAGAGATATACCACATCCCTGGAGATTCTAAGCTGCCCCTTGCCCCACAGGTCTGACAATAAATTTTAGCTGATTCTTTTAATTGCTGTGTGAGGCCTTTCTGGTCTGAGGGGAGCCCCCAAGAGAGTGTCTCACTACAGCTTTCATGGGGGAGACTGGGCTCTCACACTCCGCTCCCTTTTCTGCTCTAAGGTTATTCGGCTGCTGACAAATCACCCGCCTGCCCGTGTTCTGCCCGTGCCTTCAAATCCCTGCCAGTTTCTGACTCACAGCTGCTCAGCAAGGACTGCTGAACAAAAGCAGACAGCACCGAGCTTCACGCCATGCCACCATGTCACTGGCATGTCATCAATGACAGAAAAAAATTCAGTTCTGTGAGGAATCAGAGATGTACTGTGGGACAATGCTCTTGCACCCTGTAAAGATTTGTCACTTGTATGGTTTAATAAAATGCTGACTGGCCAGTAGCCAGGCAGGAAGTGTAGGTGGGGCAACCAGAAGACTCAGTCTGCAGTTATCACCCAGATTCCGAGGACACAAGGTGAGAATGCTTCACTGATCAAAGGTACCAAGCCATGTGGCTAACACAGGCAAGAATTATAGCTTAATTTACGATGTAAGAGTCAGTTAATAAGAAGCCTGAGCTAACAGGCCAACCAGTTTATAATTAATGTAGGCCTCTGTGTGCTTCTTTGGGACTGAATGGTTGTGGGCCCAGGCGGGACTGAAACCTCTGTCAACAGAGATGGGCTCCCAAAAACGGTTGTGAAGGACAATAGCAGGTAAAGAATAGGTGCAGTCAGGCACCAAGCAGGCGTGTGCAGTCAGGACGAGAAAAGTCAGAAAGCTGGTAAAGGTATTTAGTACCAGTCTAGTTTAACCTGGGGTATAAAAGTGGGCTTTCTTTGTAGCCTGTCTATGGCATTAAGTGTTTGTTTTTTTGTAATCCCTCATTTATTTTTTATTTATTCCCCCACTTAAAAGATTCTGGGTGGTGGTGGCACACACCTTTAATCCCAGCACTTGGGAGGCAGAGGCAGGCGGATCTCTGTGAGTTCGAGGCCAGCCTGATCTACAGAGTGAGTTCCAGGACAGTCAGAGCTGTTACACAGAGAAACCCTGTCTCGAAGAAAAAAAGGAACTCCCTCAATATCCCCCCACAAGAAATATGCACAAAAGATGGTCATGGTAGCTCATGTTTTTAATCCCAGCACTTGGCAGACAGAGGCTAGTGGATCTCCACGAGTTCCAGGCCAGCCTGGTTACATAGGGAGTGAGTTCCAGACCAGTTCTAGGCAGGCAGAGCTCCTTCGGGGAGGGGGAGAGTAGAGGAAGGGAAAGAAAGTCAGGCCATTTTTGGCCTACATATGTGTAGCACTGGCCTTGATAGTGCTAAGCCCATACTCTACTATTGAACTACAGCCCTAATCTACAGTCTACTTTTGATAATTAGTACTGTGTTTCAAGGCTCTTCCTCCAATATGACAAAGAATAAAAATAGAGCATAGGAAACAATCCTTGGTTTGACTTAGAATTTTATATATTCGTTTCCTGTTTTTCTACCTTCATCTTATGGTAGCTTTCTTTTGATATAACTTCAAAAAGAAATGATAAAAATAGGCTTAGGCATGCACGGTAGCTCATGTCTATAATCTCAGCACTGGAGAGCCTGAGACAGGCGGAAAGCCATGAGTTTGAAGTCAGTTTGGGCTATATAGTAAGTTCCAGGCTTGCCTGGGTTACAGGGTAACAACACATCTTAGCTGGGTAGTGGCGCAAAAGCGTTAATCGCAGTACTCAGGAGGAAGAGGTAGGAAGAGCTCTGTGAGTTCAAGACCAGTCTGGTTTACAGAGCAAGTTATAGGACAACCAGGGCTACACAGAGAAACCCTGTCTCAAAAATGCAAAAGAGATGGCTCAGCGGTTAAGAGCACTGACTGCTCTTCCAGAGGACCTGGGTTCAATTCCCAGCAACCACATGGCAGCTTACACCTGTCTGTAACTCCAGTTTTAGGGGACCCAACACCCATAGCAAAAACACCAATGTACATAAAAAAAAAATCCAAACAACAACAAAAACTAAAACATCTCTACATATAGGTAGCAGACTGCCTTTTATCATTCTCTCTCCAAACTATTAAAAAGTAAAGCATAGTTCATATCCTATCAAATCAGCATGAGAGCAAAATCCATTTCTTACACAGTAGTAAAACCCATCCATTTAACAATGATATAATAGCATTATCTATTTTAGTCTCTATTCAAATTTTATTAATTATCTTAACAATGGCCACAATAATAATTTTTCCTTCAAAATTACTTATTGTGGCACTAAGGGTTGGACCCAGGGCTTCCTACATACTAGGCAAGTGCTCTACCACTGAGCTGCTTCCCAGTCCTCTTTTTATCTGCATTTTGAGACAGAGAGACATGGTCTCATTAAGGTGTCCAGCCTGGCTCTGAATACTTGCTTTAGCTTGGCAGTCCTTGACCTTTTGACCCTCTTGCCTCAGCTTCTCTGTTAGCTGGGATTATAGGCCTATGTCACCAAGCCCAGATCAAAGGTTTCAGATCATTAAGTAATTATGTTATAAGACTTACACATTTATATTCTTAAAAAGGACAGAATGGAAATGCACCTAACTGTGAACGTGTCTGAGCAATCCCCGGTCTCCAGGAGGGGTCAGAGGCCACCTTCAGACCTTCAACACGGGAACTCTGGCACCAACAGGACTCCGCTCGTACACATGACTCTACCTATCTTACCTGTTTCTGGTGGCTTTGGTTTTGTAAACTTCTAGTGCCTCCTTATGTATGTGTTTTTACACACATGTATGTGCTGCTATGTGTCATGGTGTGCACAGGGAGACAGGGCAATTTTTGGGAGTCTGTTCTCTCCTCCTACCATGTGGAACTCAGGCATCAAGTGCTTTTACTCCGTGAGTCATCTCACTAAACCTGCCTGACTGTTCCTAATTTCTCAAGCAGAAAATGTAGATAGTAATAATCTCCACTCAATAAAGATGTTGGGAGACGTAAACACTCATATTCATAATAACGGTTTGCACATGGCCAGTACTCAGTCATTCTTTTAAAAACAAGCATGATATGAGTTTCCTTGTTGGTTGAAAGGGCTGAAATAGCATCAGCACGGCTGGTAGAACTGATATTCAAATCATAACACAGAGGAGAAAAAAACAACAAGACAACCCTCTAAATGATCACAAAGGAAGAGAAATCCCTCGCAGTTTGTATGACCCCAAGAAAAGCAGGGAGGCTTTGTCAGTAAACTGAGCTAACGAGTTATCTGCTTCCAGTGTGGAACAGACTTAAAGCAAAAACGCCACTAGGCCTTTGCATGAGCCTTACAGAAATTTATGTCACAACAAAATTTTTACGGTATCAGCCATTACTTGACAGATATTGGCTGTCTTGCTAAAAACACACAATGAGGTTTTTTTTGTGTGTGTGTGTGTTTGTTTTGAAGTCAACACTGTCAATGACTTCAGAATTTCCTGACATTCTAAATGTGGTTAAAACTGAAAAGAGAATCTGGGTGGCAGAGACGCACGCCTTTAATCCTAGCACTCGGGAGGCAGAGGCAGGTGGATCTCTGTGAGTTCGAGGCCAGCCTGGTCTACAGAGGGAGTGCAAGGACAGGCTCTAGAGCTACATGGAGAAACCTTGTTTGGGAAAAAAACAAACAAAAAACCAAATTAAACAAAAAAATTGAAAAGAGAAATATACATGGACGTCACACACTTTAACCTAGCAGCTACTTAAAGCTAAAGTTGGCTTCGTTAAGGCAGTGCACAACACAAGGGTGGGGCTATGGCTCAGCACTACAGCCTTGGCCTGGCTCAGGAGGCCCTAGCTTCCATTCCTAGCACAGAGGTTTTATTCCTGACTGCTGGAACTATTGCAGCCTCCGCTTGTGCTGATCGGGGCTTAGCATCACCTCCAGTGCTGCCTTAGTCCTGGCTGGGCTCTGGCAGACGGCTTCTTCATAGAAACATGAACTGGGTGGGAAACCTCCAAGGAGCATGGCCATCTGCTTTGCTGGACCAGCCTCAGGACAAGACTAATCCACCAAGGCTGCACGCCAAGCAATTTCAGTCGATAAGGAAAAGGTGAATTCTTTCTGCTCCAGAATTTAAAAAAATATTATGTTTCCCAACTTGAGGAACATTTTAATATCTTAGCCAGATTTGTTTGAAATGAGCAAAATGTCTACAAAAATACCAGAAGCAAATGTGTACTTTATTTGAATTTCTAATTTAGACTAAATCTTCCAAAAGACTATTCAGGACTGCCAACATCGGGGTTCTGAAGTCTACTATGATTCCTCTATCTCCCAGTCCTTCTTATCGATCAATGACAGAATTCTACTTTTTTTAAAAGTAGTAATGGCAAACAAAAATCATCATAATAAAGTTAGTGGAACATTAGTGTAAAACAGGTTATAAAGACTAGATTTGGGGCTAGAGAGATGGCTTAGCAGCTAAGAGCATGCACTGCTTTTGCAGAGGACCAGAGTTTGGTTCCTAGCTCCTACCTCAGGTGGCTCTTAACAACCCGCAAGTCCAGCTCCAGGGGATCCAATGTCCTCTTCTGGCCTCCACAGATATCTGTGCTCATGTGCATATACTCACACAGAGGCACACTTTAAAAAAAAATCTTTTTAAAAGTTATATTTCTGGAGCTAGAGAGATGTCTCTTACTCTTGAGGAAGACCTGGGTTCTGTTCCCAGCACCCGTACGGGAGCTCACAACTATCAATAATTCCAGGATATCTGATGCCTTCTACTGGGGGTACTAGGCATATGTGTGGTACATATACATACAAGCAGACAAAATTCATGCACATAAAATAAACCTCTAAAAACTTAAAAATTACATTTCTGCATTTTCAGGACCTAAAGTCACGCCATTTTATTGATAATCTACAACGTTCCTATCATCATCGCTGATGGTCTTACTCCACCCATCAGTATGAGAAAGGCAATGCTCAGTGCGACTTCGGAGAGTGACTGACGCTATTTGTTGCTGCGTGTAACCCAGTCACTTCACTCCAGGGCCAGGCACCCTCCACTCAGTAACTGAAGGATTTTTCCCTGTTCTTACACTGGGGTTGAACCTAGCACCTCAAGCACGCTGGTCAGGCGCTTGAGCGCCATCGCTCCAGGCAAAGTGGAGCTTTCTGTAGGGTTCTGGAGCTAAAGTCAAAGGCTGCTTCTGAGCAACACCTGCAAGCCACTGCACAGGGTCACAGGTCAGAGGAATGGAGTTCTAAGTCACACTACTTTTCACACCTTTCCCGCTTTGGGACCCACATTTCCTGTACCCTCATGTAGCGTTGCTTCTCATTTGCTAGCCTAAGACTACATGGGGTTCTAAAACTGTAAAATATATCATGATTGAATGGTAAAGAAGAAAATCCCCCAAGCACTAAAACCTCCTCTTTTGGAGACTGGTTGCCGATGAGGTAAGATGCAAAGCTGTAGCAAAGACTAACAGGACGCTAATTTTAATTACTTCATGATCATCCTACATCCAAAGTTTATCAGAACACTACATAAAATCCCGGTCAAAAAGAACAACTCTGCATGCCAGGAAAAAAAAATCTAGACTCTGAGACGTACTGTATTTTTTAATTCTGGCTTTTTACTTATTTATTAGTATGTATGTGTGTCCCTGTGGGTGTATGTTTGTGCATCAGGTACATGTATGAGTCTTCAGAGGTAAGAAAAGGCGTGGGATCACATGGAACTGGACTTGTGAACTATCATATGGATGCTGGGAATTTATGCCCAGTCCTCTGCAAGAGCAGCAAGTGCTCCAAATAGCTGAGCCAGCCCTCCAGCACCAATATTTTGTTAGACTATATTTATTTAATGTATGTATTGTGCTTGCCTGTGGTCGCAGCAGCACTCACATGGAGGTCAGAGGACAACTCGGAGGAGGTGGTTCTCTCCTTCTACCCCTTGGGCTCCCTGGATCCATGAACTCCAGCTGCCAAGCGTGCTGAGCCCTCACACAGGACCAAACATTGTTTTACAGTTTGACACACTGGATCAGAGGTAATGGCATAGTGATAAAATGAGAGGTTTTTGTTTTGTTTTTTGCTTTTGGACAGGGCCTTGTTAAGTAGTCCAGGCTAGGTTCCCAAGTACTGAGAAAGAAAAAAAAAAAACAAAAACAAAACCGTGCGCCACACCCAGTCCTTAGAATAAGATTTTTTTTTAAAAAAATTTATTTATTTATTATGTATACAGTGTTCTGTCTGCATGTTTGCCTGCATGTCAGAAGGGAACACTAGATCTCATTACAGATGGCTGTGAGCTACCATGTGGTTGCTGGGAATTGAACTCAGGACCTCTGGAAGGAGAGTCAGTGCTTTTAACCTCTGAGCCATCACTCCAGCTCCCCTAGAATAAGATTTTTAAGTAATCAGCAATTACAGATACTGATGAAATTACTTTTCTAGCCAACAGTAGATGAAAGACTTCTACGAAAAGTTCAAGAAAATCTGTTGTACTAGACAGCTTTCAACAAGGGGACGCGAGTATTTTTTGGTTTTAAATCCGACACTACACCACTCTAAATAATCCTAGTTTGAATCTGAAACACGGGTGTGAGCGGCTAGAATCTTAATCTCCTCAAGAGATGATGAGATTTCACACGGAAGCTGGAACCGGGCAACCTGGAAACAGACCGCTATTGAAGGCGCGTCGGTTCAGGAGGCGGACACAAGTTTCCAGAAGCCAGGGAGGCAGAGATGCGCTGATGATATTCCTGCATCCTGGGGGAGGGAAAAGGGGGAGGAGACTGGGGCTTCCACCTGCTGCCAGCCTGTTTTCCTGGCCACACCTTCCCTGCCCTCGAGGGCAGGCTGGGCCTGTCATCTTCCAAAAAGTCGTACAGTTGATGGAAAAATTGGTGGTGGAGGAGGAAGGACTTGGGGGGCGAGGGGTGTTTTGTAGGGTGTTACCCCGAAGCGCCCTGGGAAGACCCTGGGGACCAGGCGGCTGGCCCTTCGCAGCGTCTAGGGGGCTCCGGGCAGCTCTGGCGGCTGCTGCTACGGCTGAGGCTGCTGTAACTTTCGGGGTCCCGGGGATCCCCAGCGCCGCTGCAAACCTGCCCCGAGCGGCCGCACGCCGGCCCCGCCCTGCGAAGGGGAGACTCACCTGTGCGCTCGAGGGAAGAGGCCCGGGGGCGACGAGCGCGGCCTGGGGCAAACAGAACCCCTCCGCCCGGGGCCGCGAGGAGCCGCCACGCCCTCGACGCCGGCGCCTCAGCCGGGGACGCGGGCGGTGACTTGGGCCCGAGCGAGGTCGCTGGCGTCGCGCGCGCTCCCGGACCCGCGCGCCTCGCGCCCTCCCTTGGGGCCTGGCACCTAGCGGGCGCGAGGCGCAGGCGCACGGACCAGTGGGTGGGGCCAACAGCTGGGTGGGCGGGAGTCCGGCGAGGTGGACGGGGCTGTATGGGGTGTGGCATGTTCTGCGCGCGCGCACTCGCCCGCTCTTCCTGGCTTTCTGGCACAGCTTGTAAGGGCTTTGGGCGGGAACCCTGTGCTAAGGCTTTATTTGACCTCCAAAAAAGGACCTTTGACAACCCCTACGAGTTCGCCGCGACCCAGAACCTCTCCTCTCTCCTTGCTGACACCACAGGACAGTGACAAGAACAGTTAGCAAAGATACTAGAAATCTTCTCAGGGCGGGTTCCTGTGAGCTCCAGCCGGGGAACCTCCCGGGAACCCGCCAGCCGGATGTGCCAGACCGCACCCTGCAGCCCCCACCGCCCAGCAGAGGCGACGAGCTATGGGTGTCACCAGGTGTGTGACTGCACCGGCTCCACCCCTCCCGCCATTGCTCGCTGCACAGATGTACAGTATTAATGATATTTGCGGTTGCCTTTCCGTGCCCAGTCTTGATTGTCTCCCTCGGAGACAATGGGGCATTAATTATGTCTAGGTCGAGGTCTCTGTCAGTGGTAGCACCGAGGCTGGCTGGCATTAGAGCGTTAGTTTAATTTGACTGAGGCCAGCCTGGCGCGGAGCTGTGCTTTCCTTCAGCTCACAGGCTGGATGACGGGTACAGAGCTGGAGATCTTGTCTCAGCTCCAGCTAGAAGGAATCCGCTCTGCTGGCCCGCAGTATGGTTCGGCGGCTGAAGGTGCTTGCTTCCCCAGCACCAGCATGGTGGAAGGAGAGAACCAACTCCCACAATTATTCCTTGATCTCCACACGGCTGCCCTTCCAAATAAAAAAAATAAATAAAAGGGTCCCAGGACAGCCAGGATTATGACACAGAGAAACCCTGTCTGGGGTAGGAGTGGGGTGGTGGTGGCCGACTGGACCAAAAAAGTAAAAGAAAGTCAGCTTTTATCACTCAAGACCCTTCTGAGGACAAGTGGAGCAAAGGGGTCAAAGCAAAGGAGTGACACAGTGTTGTCACTCGGCAAGGGTTATGGGCATAAAGTGTAATAAAATTCTTAGCATCTTCATCAGGGTTAGATCTAAGGAAGCGCTGTAGCTCCTATAGTGTCTGCTGCGGGGTCACACGGTTGTATCCCTCTTGCCTAGTTTCTGCAGCTTCTCACCCTGTGGCTGCGGAGCAATCTTGACTTGACAGGTTACATTCTTCACTTTTTCACTAAAGAATGCTACGGAGAGCGGCTTCCATTGTCAGAGTCACACTGGGAACCGCAGTCATTTTTCTTCTGAAGTTCTCTTAACACAGCAGTTTCTGAGATGGCTCAGTCGGTAAAGCACTGGGATTCAGTCTTAAACAATAAACAAGCAAATGGGGAACAGTTGAGGAAGACACCCAACATCAGTTTCTGGCCTCCACACACACGTGCATGTGTGTACAAACAGAGACGTGTGCATATCATAATATACACAGTGGAGTTTTCGGTCAATGTGTCTAGGACTGCTGCCTTCTCTAGTCCTGCTTAGCGATGCATGAGAACTAGGAGGAATATAGGAAGAGCTGTGAGCCCCTCTAAAAGCCTGTTTTCCTTGGGTATTAAGACCCTGCGCTGGGGGTTGAGCCTGGAAGGGACAGCTCAAGGAATTCACTAGGAGCCCACCCTGACACACGTGTATGAACTCCTAATGCTCCCATCTGCCGGAACCCTGGAGGTCGGAGGACTTGTTTCTATTACTGAAAGGAAAGGGAGTGAACAGAGCTGGCAATGTGGACCATTGCTTCCTAACAGTAGGACAGGGATTCAGATCAGAGGATCTGGCTTAGACAGGAGCCGTGCAGGTGGCAATGGGGAGAAATGGCAGGATTGTGGATGTGCTCCAAAGGCAAAGCCAGCAATAGTCACTCATGAGAGCCATGGGAACTTGGAGTAGTGGGGAACACACTTCTGGGACCTCCGCAGGTGAGTTGGAGGGTGGTGTGGTGTCAGCTGAATCCATGGGCTCAGCTGAGATGGCCCAGAGAGAGTAGGCAGAATAAAACACACAGGTCAAAAGTCAGAAGCCAGATCTGTGTGCCTGCCTTCACGGCATAGGAAAAGTTGCTGCTGTATTGTGAACAAGGCCAAGAGCAAGAGACTAAGAGAGCAGGAACAGAATCTTCTACATCCTCCCTCCTCCCCATTGTGTGTGACAAGGCGACAGGCACTGTGTGTAAGGAATGTTTGCTATGAATGAGCTTGGCACAGACTCCCATTTCCGAGGCACCCTACCTTGCTTGCCTCATCTCTGTGGTTTGTGTTACAGGCAGAGAGAAAACGATCGCTCCATCCTTTGAAACGGGGCTAAGGTTGATAAGCGTTTTCTGTCCCACAAAACTCAGGAGAGCCTGTTAGCTGATGCCTCCGGTCCTAAGTGGCTCGGCTCCTGCAGCAAAGTTTCCAGACACACGATCTCATTTCCGATTTTCACATCCGATGTGCAAGCAGTCGATACACTGAAAGCATCCTTGATGGGTCTGCTGGAGGAATGAAAAGGCTTGTGGCTGTTCCCAGAGATGGTCTGCCACTCTATCAACTAGATGGACACCTAATCTGTGATCCAGAGATTCCACTCCTGGGCATATACTGAAAAGGAATGCCCAACTCCATCTCACCCCCCTCCAAAAAAAAAAAAGAAAGAAAGAAAGAAAGAAAGAAAGAAAAGAGGGTAGGGAAATGGTTCTGTGAATAAAATGTCTGTTGCCCGGGTATGAGGATTGTTGCTCAGATCCACTCGAGGGGGTGTGGCCTTTGCTGTAACTCCAGCAGAAGACTGAGACAGAAGATCACTGGAGCAAACTGGCAGGCTGGATTAGGCAAGCTCTGGGTTCAACTGGGAGTCCCTGCCTTATGAATACAGTGGAAAGCGATTGAGGAAGACTTTGACGTCCCTGGGCCATTCCAGACACATGAACAAATGTGCAGGTACACCCATAGATAACATACAAGCAAACAAGTAAGTGCGCGCGCACACACACACACACACACGCACACACACTTTCTTTTTTTCATTTTCACACACACATACTTTCTAAAATATTTTACTTAATTTTATTTTTTGGGTTTTTTGAGACAGGATTTCTCTGTGTAACAGCCCTGGCTGTCCTGGTACTCACTCTGTAGATCAGGCCTATCTCTCTGTCTTCCTGAGTGCCACCTGGCCACTCTTTCTTTCTTTCTTTCTTTCTTTTTTTAAAGAGACTTGTCCAAGAGTTCTCTGGACATGTTTGCTCATTCATATTATCTCTGAGTTGGAAGTGTCTCACATGTCCATCAGTTGAGTGGCTAATAAGAGCATTTTAAACATCTGCTGACCTATCTTAGTTCTTTGAACTAACAGAACCAAGGCTTTTCTTTCTTTTCTTCTCCTATTTCCTGCCCTGCACACATACTTTCTCTTTTTTGTTAAGACAGGGTCTCTAGCCCAGGCTGGCTTTGAACCCTCCAAGTGGCCGATGATGGCCTTGAACTTTTGATCCTCCTGCTTCCACCTCTCCACTACTGGGATTACAGGTGTGTACTACCACAGCTGATTTACGATGTTCTGGGGATGGAACTCAGGGCTTCGTACATGCTAAGCAAACACTACCAAGGGAGCTACATGCCCAGCCCCCAGGTTAATTTTTTTTATCCAGTAAGGAATGAACAAAAAGCACCTGTCTTTATTACAAGGCATACTCTTTGCCTTTTGCTAGTCTCCTTTCTTTCTCTAGCCTGCAATGCAAACACAATGGCTGGAGTTGTGGCAGCCCTTATGGACAAGGAGGTAACTCTGAAGGTGGCAGCTGTGAGTGGCATGTTGACTCCAGAAGATTAGAGGTCTAGCATGAGTTTTACAGGCGCAGGACTAGTCTATGCAATGATGTGGCCCCAGCTCTTATCATGGCATCTGGTGCTGGTGGAGATTAAAGGTTCTCCGGCTGTGGAAGAGATGGGGAGGCAGGAACCATCTGCTGATGTTGGTGAGAGAGATGGGCTCCCAAGAGGTCACACTGAGGCTGGAAGCCGAGAGGCCGGGAGCTGAACTCTATGGGTCAATACCACCCTCCCAACCCCCACCCCTCACCCCCAACTACCTACCTGCGCTGCTGATTCAATCCAGGATCTACCATCCACTCTAGATGAAGCTCCTGAAACGAACTCGTTTCCCTGGTAACGTATTTTGTATCTACTTCTGGTTGAATCAACCATTTCCCCACCAGGAGCCACAAGTGACCCAGAGATTTAACATTTATTTATTTTGGTGTTCCTGTGTGTGTACATCCCATATGTGCAGCGGTGTGAAGCGCAGGGGTTAACTTTAACAAGTTGATTCCATACTGTGGGACCTGGGAATCGAACTCAGGCTGTCGGGCTTGTCAGCAACACCTTGAATTTACATCACCTGCCCTGTTATCCAGTAGTTTCTTAAAGGCATCGCTTTCAATGTTGGTGGGGAGATGAGTCCTGTAGAACTGGGATGATTTTTAAATGTTTTCATTATAAAAATTGGATTTGGCAGATAGGCGTGGTGGTACACGCCTTTAATCCCAGCTCTCAGGAGGCAGAGGCAGGCAGATTCAGCCTGGTCTACAGAGTGAGTTCCGGGGGACAGCCAGAGCAACAGAGAGAAACCCTGTCTTGAAAAAACAAACAAACAAAAATTGAACTTGGCCTTTATAGATAATTTGAAAGCAAATGTTACTAAGATAACTAGAATCAGCTACAACCCTTCGATATTTTGGTATATTTCCTTTTTATAATTAGGTTTGCTCTTGGGATCATTCAATTTGGACTTCCCATCTACCAGCATCATGCCGGTAAGTATTTCCTTGAGTTTCAAAAATGATTTTAAAATGGTTTAAAATAATGATCTAAAACTTTACCCCATGCAATTACTTAGCTAATTGGTGAATCAAGGCTTCTTGCAAACTTTCTCTTGTACAATTAACCATTCAGCAAATG